AATGAATATAGTACATTTACATCAATCACCAGAGAGAGTGGTGAAACACCAAATGATAGAAATGATCGTGCAATTCGTATAGCAACACAATGGTATAAATCTCATCTTCATAAATATTCAATTAAAATTTTATTAATTACAAATGATAAAGATAATTTAAAAAAAGCAAAATCATTAGGTTTGGATTGTCAAACTAGTAAGTTACTAATATATATAAATATATATAAATATGTTTAATATATATTAATTTTTATTTTTATTTTGTTAATTTAATTTTAAAATAGTTCAAGATTTAGTATTTGAATTATCAGATAAAAATCCATCATTAGTTGATAAATTATCAGATCCAAATGATGATAGTAATGAACAAGATAATGATGAATCAAAGAGATTCCAATATCAAGAGCATAAACCAATGTCAATGTTAACAGATGAATTAAAGAATGGTAAATTAATTCAAGGTATATTTAGAACTAGTATTACAAATTATAGAGAGGCAACAGTATCTAATAGAGATATGGAAAAGGATATATTAATTCAAGGTATTGAAAATATAAATAGAGCAGTCGATGGTGATATTGTAGCTGTTGAATTATTTGATCAATCTAAATGGAATACACCATCAACAATAATCATGTTAGAGAATGATGGTGTTGAACAAGATGATGACTCAATAGCTAAAGATTCATTGATTTCAAAGAAACAACCAACTGGTAAAGTAGTTGGTATCATTAAACGTAATTGGAAACCATATTGTGGCGCAGTAGAATTTAAACAAGACATATCATCAACAAAAACAAGTACAGGTTTACATTTCCTCTATTTTATGCCAATTGATAAACGTATACCAAAGATTAGAATTAAAAGTCGTCAAGTTAGTAATTTAATTGGTAAACGTATCGTTGTGGCAATCGATCAATGGGATAAGAATTCTAAATATCCAAGTGGTCATTTCGTAAAGGATTTAGGACCATTGGGTGATAAAGAAACAGAGAGTCAAGTGTTGTTGTTACAATTCGATATACCACATCATCCATTTGGTGCAGCCATTATGAAATGTTTACCACCTCCAGATATTATGGATCGTGTTAGTAGTGCCGATATGGTCGGCCGTAAAGATCTTAGAAAGGAGTGTATTTTCAGTGTAGATCCACCTGGTTGTACAGATATTGATGATGCTTTACACATAAAAGATCTTGGTAAGGGTATTATGGAAGTTGGTGTTCATATTGCTGATGTATCACATTTCGTTCAAGAGGGTTCTGCTATGGACGAAGAAGCTGCTAATCGTAGTACCTCTGTATATCTAGTCGACAGAAGAATCGATATGTTACCAGGTGAACTATCAGGTAATCTTTGTTCTCTAATGTCAAATGTTGATCGTTTCGCTTTCTCTTGTATTTGGAAGATTAATCATCAAACTGGTGAAATCTTAGCAGTTGAATACACCAAGAGTATCATTCGTTCCTGTGCTTCACTAACCTACGAACAAGCACAAATTAAAATTGATGATAAATCTCAACAAGATCAAATCTCTGTAAATCTAAGAAATCTAAATGCATTGGCAAAAGTATTAAGAAAGCAACGTTTCGACAGGGGTGCTCTCTATTTGGCTTCACCACAAGTTAAATTTAAAACTGAAGAATTGGGCGGTGACCCATCTGATGTTGAAATCTATCAACTTCGTGAAACCAATGCAATGATTGAAGAGTTTATGTTGTTGGCAAATATTTGGGTAGCTAAAAAAATCTATAAACATTTCCCTGGTTGTGCAATGTTACGTCGTCATCCAACACCAAAGAAATCATCTTTTGATCTCTTGACAAAGTTAGTCGAGAATAAAGGTTACAAATTCTCAACTACAACAAGCAAAGAATTGGCTGAATCATTAGATGCATGTGTCGATAAGGATGATGCATACTTTAATACTCTCTGTCGTATTATGACAACACGTTGTATGTCCCCTGCTCAATATTTCTCTTCGGGTTCATTACCATACGAAGACTTTAATCATTATGGTTTAGCAACTGATATCTACACTCATTTCACCTCACCTATTCGTCGTTATCCAGATATTATAGTTCATCGTTTATTGGCATCAGCAATTGGTATTCAATCGGTCTCTTTGAACCTAGAGAATAAAACAATCTCTAACCTCACAGAGAATAATAATTTCCGTCATAAAATGGCTCAATACGCTGGTAGAGGTTCAACTCAACTTCATACATTAATCTTCTTCAAAGGTCGTAAATCTGTTGAGGAAGCCTATGTTATTCGTGTAAAGGCAAATGCTTTCGTTGTATTGGTACCACGTTATGGTTTTGAAGGCACTGTTTATGTTTCAGATCCAAATGGTAATACAGGTTCAACAACAAATGTCTATAACTACAATCATGAAGATCAAACACTTAGCAATGGTATTCACACATTTAGAGTGTTCGATAAAGTTACCGTTGAAATCTATGTTGATGATAGTAAAGCTCATGATCAAAAATTAAAAATCAATTGTATAAATCCAAATATTTCATTTGTGCCATCTGATGATGTCGATAGTAATAATTTAGATGATATTTTAAATCAAGAAAATAATACCAATAAATCTTCCTCCTCATCTTCATCCTCTTCAAATAAATCCACTAAGGTTAGAAAGCAGACCTCTGAAAATATAAAAACTACGAATAAAAAATTAAAAAAATAAAATCATTTAACTAAAAAAATAAGATAGAAAATTATTCAATCAACTAAAAAGAATAGTTTTATAATTTTCAATTAATAAATTTCTATATTTATTATTAGTGCTTTCGTACATTACATTATCTTTTGAGATAGTTATTTATAAATATTATACATATATATATATATATATATATATATATACTAGGTTTTAATACCTTAGTTTAAAGTATTATTGTTTATCCTATTTTATAACATGTTTCCAGAAAATTGAATATATCTTCTATAGTTGCGGTGTTATTATTATTAGTAATATTAATTCCTTTTTTTATTATTTTTTTTTTTTTTTTTTTTTTTTATTTATTTAAAATTTTTTATTTTATTTATTTAATTCTAAATTTATTTTATTTTGATTTATTTCAGTTGTTTTAATTTTTTTAGATTTATTCCAATTTGGTTTATTTTAAATTTATATATTTGTTTAAATTTATTTATTTTAATTTATTTAATTTTAATTTATTTTATTTTAATTTAATTTAAAATTTTTTTTTTTTTTATAAAAAATTAGTTTGGGGAAAAAAATACTTTAGCGAAAGTTGGCCAAGATGTCGCCAATGTGATATTAAAGCAGAATTTAACCTTTGATACCGTAATATAATCATCTGTAGTTAACACATTACGATGTCAAGGGTTTATTTTTTTTTTCAATATCATTTTTTGTTATGTAAAGAAACGAAGAAGCTATGTTACCAGTAATATACTCTGTGATAATACAACTGAATTTATCTTTTTGACAACGTAATGGGATAATTGTATTATTACAAAATGATTATATTATTAAATAAAGAAATAGGATAAATAATAGTACTATTATTCGTAGAGAATTTAGAAAACCAAGTTCAATCAAAACTATTCATAACATTAAACTAAACACTTCAAATTTCAATTTTGTTCCATACCCAGTGAAATACACTGAACACCAAAAAAATAGGCTAGAGGAACATATCAAAGAATTATTGAAATTAAAAATTATAAGAAACTCAAATTCACCAGTAGCTTCAAGCATAGTCTTAAGACCAAAAGAAGATATATACAGAATGTGTATCAATTTTACCAAATTATACAATGAAATTCAGAACGTAAATGAAATTTTAGCTATTATAAGAAATCCAACATAACACCTTACCATCCACAAACACATGGATTTGTAGAAAGATTCAATAAAACAATAATTCAAATGATTAAATGTTTCACACAAGACTATCATTTATGGTGGGATCAATATTTAGAATTATGTTTACTCGCATACAGGATTTCAATTCAGGCTTCAACAAAATTCTCACCTTTCTAATTGCTCTATGGTCGAGAACCAGTCATTCCAATGGATATTATATTAAAGAATGACAATATACCAGAAAATTTTAGAAAATATGATAATTTTGCAGAAGGGTAAAATCAATTATTAACAGAACATTAGCTTTGGCAAATAACAACATTAATTATAATTAATTTAAATCAGCTCAACTTAAACAAGAAAATTATTATAATACTTTAAAACCAATTAAGATAATAAAACAAGGTGATCAAATATTATTAAAAAATAATAAACCAGCCGAAGAAGCTCAAAGCAATAAAATTTTACCAACATAGGACCATTCAAAGTTTTAGAAATATTATCTGATCAAACAATTAAAACTCAGATACCAATAAACTCAAGAATGTCAACATTACAATCAACTAAGAATTGTAAGATATATAAACAAAGAATGGAAAAAATAAACATATAAACAGATAAGGAGTCTTAATTATTATTATTGATTATATTGTGGAAATTATATTTATATAAATAGAGTTATATAAATAATAATTTAAGGGACACAATTAAAGTATTCTTTCAAGAGTTAAGAGGGGATTATATTTAGATATTACTCACGCGATTCTTTATATCTCTGTAATAAACACGAATAAATAATGATGCTATAAAACCACCTAAGGTTTAGTCCAAGGTTAGAATCAAAAGGTCTGAAGAGAAGGTTTGATTAGAAGGTCTCAACAGAATCTAACCTATAGGTTCCTTAGGAAATAATTCGAGTATAAAAACAAAATAAAAATTATAAAATAAACATTCATCATTTAATTAACAATAAGTATATAAACAGTTAAAGAGTATAAATTATTATTATTGATTATATTGTGGAATTTATATTTATATAAAAGAGTTATATAAATAATAATTCAAGGGACACAATTTAAATATTCTTTAAAGAGATAAGAACGATTATATTTAGATATGACTGACGCGATTATTTACATCTCTCATAAAAATAGCCCAGATAGCTCAGTCGGTAGAGCGCAAGGCTTTTAACCTTGTGGTCGGGGGTTCGAGCCCCCCTTTGGGCGAAACATTTTGCATTCATAAAACAGAGATCGCTGGTTCGACACCCATTATAACCTCATTTTTACCGGGGCTTAGCGTAGTGGTTCCACGCTGAATCACAAGCCTCCGTGGTCAAGACCTTGGGATCGGGTCTTGGTCATACCACGAAGTAACGTGGTCATAATTAAACCCTGGTTCTGCGCTGAATCACACAGTCTCCGTGGCCTTGGTTCGAGCCTTAGGTCATACCACGAGGTAACGTGGTCATAAATAACACACCTCATAATCAAGCGGAAAAAAGCTCGACTTCCAAAAAAAACAACAACAAAAAAAAAAAAAAAAAACATGGTGATTAGAAATTCTAATCCCAATAATATTAAAAAAAAAAAAAAAAAAAAAAAAAAAAACCTCACTTTTATTATACAGATAATACAAAATGCAAACATTCTATTAAAAACATCCCTCTAAACATTCATTAAAAACATTTAAATAAACATTTTATAAATAGCTTATTGCTATATATTAAAAAAAAAATACAAAATGCCACCAAAAGCCACCGAGGTAAATCCAAACAAATTCAAGCATCCAAAGCTGCCATCAAAGGTCGGTAGAAAGAAATAGTCCAAAGGTATATCAAGAGAAAAATTAAACAATGCTATTCTCTTCGATAAAGAAACGTAAGCCAAACTCTTAAAAGAAATGCCAACTGCGAAAGTTATCACTACCGCTGTTGTTTCTGAAAGAATGAAGCGCAATGGTTCCTTAGCCCTTAAAGCCATCAGAGGATTATCAAAAGGTCTCATCAAAGTAATCAAAGGTCACGGTAATGGTGTCAAACTAATACTCAATAAACCGATGGGTAAATAGATAATAAAAACTTTTTAAAAAAATCGAAAAAAAAAAAAAACAACCTCAGAGGTACCCCTTAACAATATCATACTTCAAAAAACAGTAATATTTATAAATAAAAACCACATTACAAATAGCAAAATGCAAGACAATAAAAAAATCATATCCGACGGAGACAATCAACAAACTATCTTTCTTAAAAATTAGAAGTTGGAATCTAGATACAATGATCTAATTTCCCTTATTTTTTTTTTTTTTTTATAAGGTAGGACCTTCGTCTATTCGTGGTCTGGCCGAGAATCTATTCTCGATCCTGGAAACTTTAATAATTTTTTTTTTTTTTTTTTTTTTAATATTATTGGGATTAGAATTTCTAATCACCATGTTTTTTTTTTTTGTTGTTGTTTTTTTTTGGAAGTCGAGCTTTTTTTTCCGGTTGATTATGAGGTGTGTTATTTATGACCACGTTACTTCGTGGTATGACCTAAGGCTCGAACCAAGGCCACGGAGACTGTGTGATTCAGCGCAGAACCACTACGTATAGCCTCCAATAATGAGGGTTTAATTATGACCACGTTACTTCGTGGTATGACCAAGACTCGATCCCAAGGTCTTGGCCACGGAGGCTTGTGATTCAGCGTGGAACCACTACGCTAAGCCCCCCGGTTTTAATAATAATTATAATAATAGGGCTGCCATCAACAATCTATTATAGTCTCCCCCTAACTAATTTCCTAGTGTCAATTTAAAAAAAATGAAGGTAATTTCTGTAAACAATAAAGAGAATCGAACCCTTGATCTAATATTGAGGTGTGTAAAAATTGGAGAAGAAGGGTATCGATCCCTTTACCTCTCGCATGCTAAGCGAGCGCTCTACCATCTGAGCTACATCCCCTATTTATGATTTTTTAAATTAAACATTAAAATTTAGCTTCAATTGGGGTGCCACTTTCAAATGTTAACACCCGTATCAAATATCATTATTTGTAATTAACATCAAAAATCACCAACCACACGACACATTATTTCTCATTTGTGTACAGATTACAAACAACTATCACTTTTTATTTTAAAAAAAAAATAAAAAAAAAATAATAATAAATAATTAAAAAATATCGACCAAATGAAAAAAAACGCAGTTTTTTTTCATTTTCGTTGTGCCACTTTCAAATGTTAACACCCGTATCAAATATCATTATTTGTAATTAACATCAAAAATCACCAACCACACGACACATTATTTCTCATTTGTGTACAGATTACAAACAACTATCACTTTTTATTTTAAAAAAAAAATAAAAAAAAAATAATAATAAATAATTAAAAAATATCGACCAAATGAAAAAAAACGCAGTTTTTTTTCATTTTCGTTGTGCCACTTTCAAATGTTAACACCCGTATCAAATATCATTATTTGTAATTAACATCAAAAATCACCAACCACACGACACATTATTTCTCATTTGTGTACAGATTACAAACAACTATCACTTTTTATTTTAAAAAAAAAATAAAAAAAAAATAATAATAAATAATTAAAAAATATCGACCAAATGAAAAAAAACGCAGTTTTTTTTCATTTTCGTTGTGCCACTTTCAAATGTTAACACCCGTATCAAATATCATTATTTGTAATTAACATCAAAAATCACCAACCACACGACACATTATTTCTCATTTGTGTACAGATTACAAACAACTATCACTTTTTATTTTAAAAAAAAAATAAAAAAAAAATAATAATAAATAATTAAAAAATATCGACCAAATGAAAAAAAACGCAGTTTTTTTTCATTTTCGTTGTGCCACTTTCAAATGTTAACACCCGTATCAAATATCATTATTTGTAATTAACATCAAAAATCACCAACCACACGACACATTATTTCTCATTTGTGTACAGATTACAAACAACTATCACTTTTTATTTTAAAAAAAAAATAAAAAAAAAATAATAATAAATAATTAAAAAATATCGACCAAATGAAAAAAAACGCAGTTTTTTTTCATTTTCGTTGTGCCACTTTCAAATGTTAACACCCGTATCAAATATCATTATTTGTAATTAACATCAAAAATCACCAACCACACGACACATTATTTCTCATTTGTGTACAGATTACAAACAACTATCACTTTTTATTTTAAAAAAAAAATAAAAAAAAAATAATAATAAATAATTAAAAAATATCGACCAAATGAAAAAAAACGCAGTTTTTTTTCATTTTCGTTGTGCCACTTTCAAATGTTAACACCCGTATCAAATATCATTATTTGTAATTAACATCAAAAATCACCAACCACACGACACATTATTTCTCATTTGTGTACAGATTACAAACAACTATCACTTTTTATTTTAAAAAAAAAATAAAAAAAAAATAATAATAAATAATTAAAAAATATCGACCAAATGAAAAAAAACGCAGTTTTTTTTCATTTTCGTTGTGCCACTTTCAAATGTTAACACCCGTATCAAATATCATTATTTGTAATTAACATCAAAAATCACCAACCACACGACACATTATTTCTCATTTGTGTACAGATTACAAACAACTATCAACAATTCATTTTTTCAAATTCATTTTGATACTCTTTTTTTTTTAGAATAAAGGAAATTTTGCAAAAAAAATCCGGCTTTTAAAAAAAAAAAAAAAAAAAAAAAAATGAAAAAAAATCAAAAAAAAAATGAAAAATAATTAAAAAAATTATCAAATTAAAATATCAAACTAAAAATATCAAAAAAAAATATCAACCCCAAAGTATCAATCCAAAAAGGTGCTGGTTTGAATGTTAACACAAGTATCAAATATCACTGTTTGTAATTAACACCAAATGTTACCAGCCAGATAAAGACACATTATTTCCCCTTTGTGCCACACACTCAAAACATTAATTTTATACATTAATTGAGCCTGTAAAAAAAAAAAAACAATAAACACGAGTTCTATTCTCGAGGAGAGACAGCCTAAAAAACTGTGATATTCAATTTAAAAAAAACAAAAAAAAAAAAAAAAAAAAGCTTCAATTGGTGCCACTTTCAAATGTTAACACCCGTATCAAATATCATTATTTGTAATTAACATCAAAAATCACCAACCACACGACACATTATTTCTCATTTGTGTACAGATTACAAACAACTATCACTTTTTATTTCTAAAAAAAATAAAAAAAAAAATAATAATAAATAATTAAAAAATATCGACCAAATGAAAAAAAACGCAGTTTTTTTTCATTTTCGTTGTGCCACTTTCAAATGTTAACACCCGTATCAAATATCATTATTTGTAATTAACATCAAAAATCACCAACCACACGACACATTATTTCTCATTTGTGTACAGATTACAAACAACTATCAACAATTCATTTTTTCAAATTCATTTTGATACTCTTTTTTTTTTAGAATAAAGGAAATTTTGCAAAAAAAATCCGGCTTTTAAAAAAAAAAAAAAAAAAAAAAATGAAAAAAATTAAAAAAAAAAATGAAAAATAATTAAAAAAAAATAATCAAATTAAAATATCAAACTAAAAATATCAAAAAAAAATATCAACCCCAAAGTATCAATTCAAAAAGGTGCTGGTTTGAATGTTAACACAAGTATCAAATATCACTGTTTGTAATTAACACCAAATGTTACCAGCCAGATAAAGACACATTATTTCCCCTTTGTGCCACACACTCAAAACATTAATTTTATACATTAATTGAGCCTGTAAAAAAAAAAAAAAACAATAAACACGAGTTCTATTCTCGAGGAGAGACAGCCTAAAAAACTGTGATATTCAATTTAAAAAAAAAAAAAAAAAAAAAAAAAAAAAAAAAAATTAGCTTCAATTTGTGGGGGCTTAGCATAGTGGTTTCACACTGAATAACACAGCCTCCATGGCCTTGGTTCAAGTCTTGGTCATACCACGAATTAACGTGGTCACAGAAAAAAAAAATTTAAATTAAAATAATTAATAAATAAAAACTAGATTCGAACACATCTAATTGGATGAGGTTATTAAAAAAAAAAAAAAAAAAGCTTCAATTGTGGGGGCTTAGCATAGTGGTTTCACACTAAATAACACAGCCTCCATGGCCTTGTTTCAGGTCTTGGTCATACCACGAATTAACGAGGTCACAGAAAAAAAAAAACTTTAAATTAAAAAAATTAATAAATAAAAACAAGATTCGAACACATCCAATTGGATGAGGTTATTAAAAAAAAAAAATAAATAAAAAATAAAAAATTAGCTTCAGTTGGGGGCTTAGCATAGTGTTTTCACAATGAATAACACAACCTCCGTGGCCTCGGTTCAAGTCTTGGTCATACCACGAATTAACGTGGTCCCAGAAAAAAAAATTTAAAATAAAAATAATTAATAAAAACATGATTGAACACATCCAATTGGATGAGGTTGTTAAAAAAAAAAAAATTTAGGTTTAGATGTGGGAGCTTAGCATGGATTTCACACTGAATAACACAGCCTCCGTGGCCTTGGTTCAAGTCTTGGTCATACCACGAATTAACGTGGTTACAGAAAAAAAATTAAAATTATAATAATTAATAAAAACATGATTCGAACACATCTAATTGGACGAGGTTATTAAAAAAAAAAAAAATTAGGTTTAGACATCTTCCAATTTTAAAAAAAAAAAAAATTACCTTTTTTTTTTATTAACCTCATCCAATTGGATGTGTTCGAATCATGTTTTTATTAATTATTTTAATTAAAATTTTTTTTTTTTTTTTTGTGACCACGTTATTTCAAAATTTTAATATGAGAAAAAAATTTAGAATAATCCACCTCTATCTAATGATGATGAACCCCTATTTGATCCACACAGCTTTTTTATAAACTCCATATAATACTACATATTTCTTAGAAGTTTGTAAAAAATAAAGATATAAATTGTAAAAACTTAATATTGTAATTTATTTAATTTGGCCAAAGAATTAAAATAATTTATTTCGAGAAAAAAAAAAAATGGCACATTTTCGAGTTTTTATAACCACCTCTGGGTCGATACTCTCTATGGACAAACGATATAACTACCAATTTTGATCTTTTTATACTTAGTAACATATTAATAATATTCAGTTTTTAGATGGTTGTATTAGGAGAAAAACGAAATTTTAATTTTCAAAATCATCATTTAGTTAGCTAAAACTATATTCAATCGAAAGAAAATTAAATTTTATGTTTATCACCAATAGTGAATTTATTAATACCGACATATTTTTACAAAATAAAATATGGTCACAAACTTGCTCTTCCTACGAGTACTCGTAGGAAGAGCAACTTTAAAAGTTTTTATAATGAACTCTGGGATCGATACTCACTATTGAAAAAAGCCATAACTATCAATTTTAATGTTTTTTACAATTAAAACCATTCATTTTCAACATAACCATAAAAACTTCATTTAATCGATTTGTTGTGGAAATTTTTTAAAAAAAAAAATATTTTTTTTTAGGGTGTAAAAAAAAATCTTTTTTTTTTTTTATTTTTTTTATGAAAATTTTTTCTTTATTTTTAATTAATAATTCTCCGGCATATAATATTAAAAAATAAAATAAAAAAGAAAAAAAAAAAACGATGATTTTTAAATTAGTTATTTTAATAATATGTATAATAATAAATGAAACAGTTTCTATGGTGGTATTACCATCAGATTCAAATATTCATTATGTGGGAAGAATTGATAAAATTCAATCCAATGACTATTATGCATTTTCATGGTCAGGTTGTCAAATTATTTTCAATGTTACAGGAACGACACAAGTTCAAGCCATTTTAAATTCAGAAAAAGTAAATTGGTTTGATGTTTTTATTAATGGACAATTAAGTAGTGTTTTTAATGTAACAGAATCAACACCAAATCAACAACAAATAACCATT